ATTTACGTAAAGTATTATTTTTTAATGTTGGTTTGTTTAAAATATATTATAATTGGAAGATATAAGTATTATTTGGACTCAGTCACATTTAGCTAAACTACGAATATTATTTATCACTTCTAGTTGACCTAACTTATTCCTGGAGACAACTACTTTTGACTAAGCACATGTATGTTTTAAACAAAATCACTCTTATCTAAGAACGAGTGTAATCATTCATGGGAAAAAAACACTTTGATTACAATGGGTGAAATCTTAAGGATCACGTGTTTCATTCACTAAAAAAATTAACATCCTTAGACGGATAGAAAGTTATGAATACGCTTTTGTCAACTATGAACACAAATAATGTTCTTCTTCACACACAATCAGTGATGCATCTAGAAGAGAGTTGATGATAATCCAAATGAAAGATAAAAAAATTCAACCTGAATGGAAGAAAAAAGGGGAACAAGTTCTTTACAAGCAAGGTAAACAGCCTACATTTATGGCAGAAGAGACTTGGCCACTCAAGTTTTTCCACTTTGAAACCTGAACTTAGAGTTACAATAATTGAAGGTTATGAATTCAAATATAAACGTGCATGGATTCTATAAAGATAAAGCAAGTGCTTGTCAACAAGGATTTGAAAAAGATCTCACAAAAATTATCTCTTTAAAAGTTGATACTATGAAACAAGAAAGTTATTTTAAAAATGTGTTGAATCTTACTAAATGTCTAAAGAAGCAAATGAACAACTCAATGCTAAAATCATTCACCTTGAGCAAGAAAATCAAATGATAGTAATAATATATAATAATAAAAGCTAAATTATTTGGAGGAACATTTTACAATTTTGTCACATTTGAGACAGAATAAATAATAAAAATGCTTAATTTTATAACAAATCCCTGAATTTAGAAACCAATTAAACAATTAAGCCCAATAAAAACAAGAGTTTGAACTTCACAAACTCGCTTTTAAACAAGAACGCCAAGAAAAAAGAAGATAATGACGAAGTTAATAATGAAGAGGGTAAAGATAACAACAACGGAAATAATGAAAATGTTTACGATAACAATTAGAAAGATGAAGATAACAAATTTCAGAATAATTATGACAAGGACTTCAGTATTGAAGAAACATCTTATAAAAGAGAGAATTAGAAATGGAAAAGTTTCTATGTAATAGTTTTTTTGTTACCATATATTGTTTTTTAAATTAAAATAAATTGTTTCTCATAACATAAGAAGAGAAATACTTGAGTGCCTGCGTTTTATAAACGTGAGCACCATTTGCAGATTTACAAAAGCAACTACTGGGTCATTTTGTATAGTATGTGAGTTTATTGTGATTGTGGAGCATTGGCCACCGATAATATATCATACATTCTACAGTTTCTCTTGCTTTTACAGTACCTATATACTAAAAATTAAACTAGGAAGTAGGTACCTCCCTGTTTTCAAATTGCTCTTCTTCCTTGTCAGCTGAAGCTTCAAGCTTTTGCCACTGAGCAGGACCATAAGCCCAACAAATAGCAAGAAAGTAAAAGTAGTTAATTACACCCAAGAAAGTGAGCAATGCATAATAGTAATTCAAATGGCCACTGTTAATGTTAGTTGATAACCAGCTCTCCTTCCCTCCTAGACTAGTGACCTTGTCAACTATGCTCACCAACACACTTCCCACTACATTAGCAGCAGCCAGCTCAAGAGTGAAAAGAGCCATTGCAAAACTAGACATGGTCTTGGGGAAACCAGTGTAGAAAAACTCAACCTGTCCAACAGGGTTAAAGGCCTCACCTATTCCAAGCAAAACAAACTCAGGAACCAACCATAAAACTGACATGTCAATTACAGCATTAGGTTGGTCTTCAAAGCCTTGTTCAATGGCCGCAGTTCGTCTCATAGTTTCAACTAAAGCTGATGTTGCCTTACCTGCACATACAAACAACAATCCTATCCCAATTCGTGTTTTACAACTGAATCCTCTAGGCATACCCCAGTGTTTTGCCAGTAGAGGTACCATTATGCGGTCATATATGGGAATGACTATTGATAATGTGATTACCATGATAAGACTGAAGGACCCTGCAGGCATCTTGAAATTGCCAACTAACCTTCGGTCCAAGGTAGTTGCCTGGAGAGTAGAGAGTGAGCTTTGGGAAACCATCATTAAGATGCCCGTGGACCACATAGGAAGCACTCTGAGGACAGATTTCAGTGACTCGACCTGTCCGACTGTGCATTGGCTCCATGGATCTGAAACTGATCCATCAGGGTTTGAGAGAGTCTCAGGAGTCTTTATCATGCAAGCTTTGTTCAAACACCTGTAAGATAAGATAATGTTAATTCACTCAAAGAACTCAGATAGTATAGGACAGGTGTCAATGGATAATTTAAATCCCTTATTTATTTATTTATTTCTTATTGATCCCCCATAATTATAGGGAGAGTTTACTTGTACAACGTAAAGATTCTAGTTAAATGGGATTCTCTCAAGGATGGGAGGCATTCATGACATATCTTATAGAAGGAACATTACTATATGATGAAATTACTCTGAACACTCAGAAATAGAATTTGTCAAGGGGAACCAAAAACATTACTAACAAAGAAATAAAGACAATAAAAAATTATCTTGAACTAAGTGAATACATGATTGTCACTATTCAGTATATGATGATAACTGGATTGGCTGCTTCTCACATAAAATGTTTTGGGGGAAGTATTTGAGAAGTTAAACTGGAAGGAAATAGCATAATAAGGGCAAGCACAAGTACCTAAGGCTATCAGTAGGAACGGCCAGCTCAGAATCGCGGTCTTGATAGTATTGATCAAAGTTGCCATCAGGAAGACTAAGTTTTCTATTCTTTACAGATACTACTGCTACTTGTACAAAACTAGTGAGTAAGCTATGACCGGGTTTTGCTTTGACATAAATCGGTGAACCAAGAATGAAACTGACAGCCGATATGAACATTAGCAAAGCAGGTAAACCAAATCCAATTTTCCATCCCAGATTTTCTTGAATGTACACTATTACGCTCAAAGCAATTATAGTTGATAACGCTATTGAGGTATAATACCAATTAAAGTAGCTATCCAAGAGCCTCTCATCATTAGATCCTTCTTTAATTTTCAGTTGATCTGCTCCAAATGCTATGGAACAAGGTCTAACGCAACCAGCTCCAATGGAAATTAATCCCAAGGAAAGGAATAGAACAGCTAGTTGGGCTGTTGTGGCAGAGCTGCAGTGTAGCATGATTGATTCACAGGAAGGTTTTAGCTCTGGGATCATGGCAGTTAACCACAAAATGATTAAACCCTGTGAGAGTCAAAAAAAAAAATTACAGCACTATCATGAAAAATCATTTATCTCGTGTTCTTCGGAAAAACCTATCCTACATTTCCCCAGGAAACAAAGCAACGGAACATTATGAAGCACACTTTGAATCAAAAAACCAAGCCATGGCAGAAGACTTAAGCCTACACCAGCTAAAGCAATTACAGATAATTAGTATTTCAGCTATAGCCAAGGCAATTATTAAATTTCTGTAAGTTAAAGAAGGGTTATCATTTAAGAAGAAGATTTTGCTACTATGCGAGTGCTTAAGTATCTTGGATTGGATTAAAAGTTGCCTGAAGCAACTTTCTGAGCCAGGTTTTACTAGGTTTCTTTGAATCATGACAACAGATATAGTTGACAGAGAAAGATTTGCATTCTTACCTACAACCAGTGAATTTCGTTTTCTTTCTGAAAAAAAGAAAGAAAATATAACTAGAATGCCTAGTTAGTGAATCAACTGTGAATTACCAAAGAACTATTTAAAAGTCATTAAGTAATTTTTAATTGATTAACTGACTTTGGACTTTTTTTTATCAAAATTATACTGAATATATAGTCTGAAAATTTCAAATTTCGAACTTTTTATGATCTTCTAAATAAAAGTAGCCTTAGAAGTCTATAAATATTACTCCTGAAACAACTTTTAATTTCTTCAAAAAGCTATAACTAATTTGTTTTATTGTTGTTTAAGTAGACTTACAAGAAGGCTGGAGAAGGATCCGATAGAAATGACGAGGAATCGACCCAAATAAGAATCGGAGATAAAGGCACCGAAGATGGACAAGATGTCAGAGGTGGCCGACCAAGTGTAAATGACGCTTGTGCCCTTGGCAACAGGCATGCCGTAACCGTTCAGCAGGTACAGTATCATGTTCGGCATGATCCCGTAGCTGGCCACTCGCTCCAAACACTCGTTCACTGATCAAAGTAAGCAAAAGCACATTGTCCGATGATAAAAAATGAGTGAGTGCAATAAAAGAGTTTTGCAGTGAGCGAGAAATACCTATGATGAAAGGCATGGTTCGCAAGCCACCTTTTCTTGTCAGCGAAGAGGACGAGGAAGAAGATTGAGACGAAGTGACATTTTCCAAGAGCTTCTGCTCTGCAGCACCAGAGGCCTCCATTTCTGTGCCTTTGTTTTTTTGGATGTTGTTCAACTGAGAGCCAACAGTGGAAGAGATGGAAGAGACGACCAGTGATTCACGATTGGAGGTTGATCTTTATACCACCGCTTAAAAAATTCCAAAAATAATAGGTGCCACTCTCTCCTCGCTTATCTCGTGATTAACATTTTTAAAGTATTGTTTAAGTTTACACCTTCGTTTTGTTATCTCCGTTAAGTTATCACTAACGCCGTGTGTCTGTGACGACATGTGCCCACTTAAAATGCTGATGTGGCAATGTTATATTATGAAATTTTTTAGGTAAAGCTAGCCGCCGCAACAGTATCATTCTCCACCATCCTTGTCGCCATGGCCAACCACCATGCTCATCTCGTTGGACAATCATTCTCCATCATGCGCCACCACCCACAATGAATCAGGCCACTGCCTATCGCATCATTCATCAGAGTTAGTTGTTATACATCTTCCTTCGTCGCTTCGCTTCTGCTTCACTCTCCGCCTTTCGCATCATTAATCAGAGACTGGAGCCAAAGAAGAAAAGAATAATATATGGAGGCCGACGCAGGAAAAGGTTTGGAATGCCCGAAGACTATGGATGGGAAGGCGAGTAACGGGAGTGGGATAGAGAAGGAAATTCCTTCGTGTTGTTTGAAGGCTAAAGCTTCAGCCCTGAGTCAGAGGCAAAGTGCCATTCCATTGTTGTTTCTGGATGGTTTTCGGCTTCTCAAACTTTCTCATGGAAATTTGTAAAACCAAAATATTTCAACAACCTGATGTGGTCAGGAGAAGCCCATTCAATTAAAGTTGACTGAGAAGGATGAATGTGCTTATTAGGAGATGATTGCTCATCTACCCCTCTGTTCGATTCCAATCCCAAAATGGTTTTAGTTGTTGGTGGTGGAGATGGTGGAGTACTCAGGGAAGTATCTCGCCACAGCTCTGTAGAACATATTGATATCTGTGAGATAGATCAGATGGTTATTAACGTTTCCAGGAAATTTTTTTCGGATTTAGCTATTGGGAAGAACCCTAAAATCCCAATCGCTCCAATCTCTACGAGCTGCTCCATTCAAACTTGCAACCAAGACAACACAAAAGATCCAGAGAAAGCCCTAAATCAAAACCCTAAGTCGCGATCCATATTCTCCACCATCCAACAAAAACCCAGATTCAAAATATGTTTTCCTTCAAACACGCCCCCAACCCTAAATCAACAAAGGGGATGTCGCAAACGATTCATACCGGAAAATAATCTAAATTGGAGCCGGCGACGGAAAGTTTGAAGCTTGCTGGAAAATTGGAGGCACCTGTCGCATCAGAGAGGCATATATAGATAAAGTCTTGAGAGCATCAATAAGCAGTGTGAGAGAAAGAGGAACGGAGAGAGGAGAACACAAACCTGGAAAAGCCCCAACACAAAAGATCCAGAGGACGCCGCGAACCGGTGGGGTGCCGCGACGGTGGGGCGATTCTGGGAGGGTTTTGGGTTTCCTGTGACAGTAGAAAAAATATAAAAATTTCAAGTATCCACGTGGAATGTGATGTAAAACAGATTACCCATTCAATTTAATATAGGTTAATCGTCTCAGTAGGTCCCTATTTTTGGCGTGAATCTCAATAGCGTTCCTTTTTTTTCGGCGTCTCAATATGGGTCCTTTTGTGATAAAATTTGATCAAATCAAGACTTTCGTCAAATTGATCAAACACCGTGAATAGCAGTATGGGTGTTACGTGGCATGCTGACGTGACTAACTGTTGTTTTATTTTTTTATTTTTTGAATTAAAATAATGAGGATAAATCGAGGGCTGAAAGGCAAGTTGAACATAAAATAAATTAAGGGCCAACAGAAAGAAGCGGAACATTCCTTGCTCGCTACGCGTGGAAGAAGAGAAGTGGAACGTGGTGTGCTGGTGGCACTTCAGGCGGAGGGCGTTGCGGTGATGATTTTGGCCGTCGGACGAGAGCCAAGTTGGACTAGTTCGGTGGAGGCAAGGGTTGCCGTGGAAGGGAGTGAAGGGAGATATAAAGGAAAACAAATACATAAACTAAACTGTGTTGAATTTTGCAGGTCTTCTTTCTGAATCATCCTCCCCCTACCCCTCCTATTATTCTATTCCCTCTTCCAAACTCATCCTCTAACATTGATGTAGACTGGTTTTGATCGATCATTCACAAAATTAGTTTCATATGTACTATGCTCATGAAGTTTGTGAAATGCATTAACAATATATCATTGTCTTCATCATCAGCATCAGAACCATAATTTCCAAGACCTAAACATCTCTAGATAACTAGAATTAATTTTTCACTGGAACCACATTTTGTTACCCTTTCTGTTGACTGGTTCAAATCCAGCGTGCATTCGAAGCAAGAGAACCCCCAAATCGGGTTTGTCCCATCAGCCTTCTTTGCGTCACCAGGCCGCTATCACTGGAGCACCGATTTCGCCTCCTTCGTCTCCATTATCATGCAACCCTGCAAACAAAAGGCCCCAAATTTGCGAACACTAAGCGCAGGAAAGATCGCCCCCTCCGACACCTACAAAATCTGGAAGCGCAATAGCAACCTCTGCGTCGGCACTTCCCTCGCCGGCTTCGGCAGTCTCAAAATCTAGTGCGCTGACCAGAGGTTTCCTCTTCCTTGGAGACGAAGATCACTAGCATGACGTCTCGCCCGACTCTCTGATGCCATTAAGCTGCCCATGGAAAAAGGTAAGAGCTCTGCCTCCACATCAGAGTTAGACTCCGTCGACGACCACCGTCGGGGAGCGGAGCTGCGGGAGGCGGAGAAAGGGGGGAAGGATGGTATTGGGGGAAGAATTTGAAAGGTTGAGAGGATTCGGTTTTAGGGACTGCTGTAGACTGGTGCCGGAAAACATGGGGTCCAAAGAGGAGACGTTGCCGGAATACATTATCATAACTTCCAGAGAGAATGGGGTTCTGTAATTGAATTGCCAACTTTGCCCTAATTGATGTCCCCTACTTTAATTTAATTTTTTAATTCAAAATTTAAAATAAAAATTTATCCCGTAGGCCAACTTAACGGCCGTTTATTCAATTTGACGGCAGACCCCTAATTGCCACAATTTTACACAAAAAGGGACCCAATTGAGACGCCAAAAGAAAATGGACTTATTTGAGATTCACGCCAAAAATAGGGACCTACCGAGACATTAAACCTTTAATATACAATGTTATATCATATAAAAAAATAACGAGTGTTTCATCCTACACCTCCAAGATCTCATCCTGCACCTCCAAAAAATTCCACTTTTAATAACCTTTTGACATTTCATCTTATCCTACACCTTTAACTTTATAAAAAATTTTATTTTTAATTTTAATAAATATATTCTTATTTTTTTCTTTTGCTTATTAAAAAGATTTATAGTCACCTTAATAATAACTAAATTAAAATTCAAATATTATTTAATATAATTTTATATTTCAACTAATTTATTACATATATTTATGTTATAACTAGTAATTATTTACAACCCAATAAAAATAATTAAACATCAAATAATAACACACAGTAAATTATATTAAATCAAATATTTAATCTCTTCAAAATATATTAACTTCTATTCAATATTAAATTAAATTACTCATTATTAAAATTTAAATAATAACCAAAATTTTAAAACATTTATTTATCAAATAATAAATAAAATTATAATTAAATAAAATTTAACTAATACTAAATTATATTAAAATATTAAATTAAATTAAATAATTATTAAAATTTATATATAAAATAAAATTTTAAAAACATTCTTTATTCATATCCGATTTATAACTCATCGGATATCTATATCCGATTGACAATTTTTTCAAAATTTTGTTTTTTTAAAATTTTAATATAATTTAATATATTTAAATATATTAAATATGATTTTGAGTATTATTTTTATTTTTATTTTTTTTTTCTTATTCGTTCTCTTTTTGCTTTTCTTCCTCGCCCTCTTTTTCCCCCTCTCACTTCTCTTTTTCTTCCTTTCTTTACCCTCTCCCCCCTCCTCCCTCCTCTTTCCATTTTTCTTTCAGTTTCCTCTTTCTTCTTTTCCCCCCCCCCCGTCTCTCCCTCTTTTCTCGCTTGTCCCTCTCTCTCCGCTTTCCCTTTTTTTCTTTTTCGTTCCATTTCCCCTTCTTTTCCTTTCTTTTCCTCTTTTGCTTCTCCTTTTCTCTTTGCCTCTCTTACCCTGCCTTTCTTTTTCTTATCTTTCTTCTTCTTTCTTCTTCTTCTCTTCTTTTTATCTTCTTTTTTCTTCTTTTCTTATTTCTGTTTTCCTCTCCCTCTTATCTCCTCTCCCTTACCTCTTTTTCTCCTTCCTTCCCTCCCCCCTTCTTTCCCTCCTCTTTCCCTTTTAAAACTCCCTTCCCTTCCTTCTTCTTACGGTCGTGACGCTTGTTTTCTCCCCCCGCCCGCACCTGCCCCCTCTTTCTATCCCGTCCCCCTAGTTTTGAGTTGGAGGTGCAGGATGATGATGAGATGTCAGAAGGATAAAATTGGAATTTTTGGAGGTGTAGGATGAGATCTTGGAGGTGTAGGATGAAACACTCAAAAATAACAGATCAACGCCGTTAGTGATAACTTAACGGAGAGGGCTTAATTGGCTCATTTTTATAAGTTTATGAACCCGATTGAGACCAAAAAAACACGATGATCTACTTGAGATTAACACACAAATATGAAAACCAGACGAGGGTTTAAACCTATTTTTTTATTAGCTTTTTCAAGTCATATCAGTATGTTTGCTTTCAACACTTTTTCTTAATCTAGAATATCTCGGTGGTTAACCTGAAATTGTTTATAACCTGAGACTGTATTATATGGAATTTGGTGTAAGTTAAAATTAAAAATAATTTCATTAGAACGTCAACCTTAAGATTGTTAAAAACTAGATATATTAATTGAATAAATTCGTTCGAAAAAAAAAACTACTTTAATTTTATTTTTACCGAAGTTATGTTATATTAAAGAATATTTATTTTACATATCTTAGTACACCCGGTCCACAGTCTTCTTGTTGTTCAAGTATATATCGGTCAATTAAGATTAATATGTATTTGATTCATACATATTCAATCAAGAACGATCATACTAACTAGATTGTTAAGTGATGATATTATAGTGAAGTTAAAAAAAAATTAACCTGATATTGTCATATAATTTGATCACATATGTAATTGTATGATGGAGAGGCTGATGTATATGGCCAAACAAGTTGATAGTCAACTTGCTTTGGCTGATCATAATGACAGTGTTACAGACTTAAGGGCTAATTAAGACATTAATGGATGGTAAAGGCACATCTTAAAATTTAGGAACGGTTAATTAAAAGTTTGATTATTATGAACTCTATAAAATAAAGGTTTGGTGTAAACTTCGTCTATCGACCCCATACACCGAAATTATGCGACCATCGCGGGGCCAATGGCAATAGAGTAATCGAAGCAATAGAAGGCATAGCAGGACCATCGGATCCAGGGGATCACGAGATGCAGAGAGAGATTAGAGGAAATGCAACGGTAGGTGAAAAATGTAAAAAAAGTATGAAGCTGAGATAATTGCCTTAAGGCTAAATGTGATGCACAAAGGGGAGATGTCGTTCGTCCAGTAGGTCAGCATCTTAGAACCCCCCAAAAATAGTGTAGGAGGAGGATAGCACGACGGTTGGAACCAACCAGACGGCCTGGGTCGATCATGCGGAGGGGTTACACCCGTTCACCGTAGAGGTTATGGAGGCAGAGATTGCCCGACAAGATGCCCCCAACACTTGAAAAATATGACGGTTTAATGGACCTAGATGATCATCTTCGGACTTTCACCAATACAAATGGCCTTTTATTTCCCCGAGCGATAAGTGTGGTGTTGGGCTTTTACTTTATCCTTGAAAGGAGAAGCGTTGGTTGTTCAACGCCTTGCCACGTAATACGGTGGATAGATTTGGAACAACACGCACATTGTTCGGGCAACAGTATGCATCCAGTAAAGTCGAGGATGTGACGTACTTATCCTTGGCTAGCATGAGGCAGTGTAAGGACGAACCTTTGAAGGACTTCACGGAGCGGTACAATAAGATGGACCGTCATGTAACTAGAATTCCTGATGAGCAGTCTTCCAACCATCCTGCGGCTAGGTCCTTTCTCGAGCAACATATACCCCCGACTGCCGAGAACAATGGGTGAGTTGTAGGAGCATGCAATTGAGTACATATGCATGGAGGAGTTACAAGAGTATCATGACGAGCAGCGAGAGGACACAACTACCCCTTCTGAGAAGAAGGATCGCAAGGAGGGAAAGAGATTGTTCACCTAGGGGGAAAAAGGTGGG